GAGCAATAATATCATATAATCCTCTTTAGTCATTTATCAGGCTTCAGCTTGACAACTGAAGCTGGTTGAGTTTATGCCTCCATTTTACCTATTAATTCCATGTGAGGAAAGAAATCTTAGATAATGACAGTACCTTGTTTTCTTCTCTTCTGGGATGGTTTCATTTCCTGATAAAATAAAAATTAGAGTCTGGGGTTTTCAACTCAGAGATAATATATAAAAAATATCAAGCAATCTGCTAGACATGAAACACTGAGAGAGGAAGTTCCTGACTTTCTGTTAGCCTCAAAGAGCTCATCTGTGCCCCCTCGTTCTTTTATCTCCTTGTGCCCCCAAGGATGATCCCCATTTGTGTGGTGTGCAGCTAGACCCAGATATGTCCCATACTGGCAACTCTCCACACCATACTCCCTAGCTATCACATGGCTGTGAGAATACAGTGCAAAATGCTGAAACTGTCTTCTGCCCATGACTCACCACTGTTTCTTCCAGCAGGACCCACTGCCCTCAGGTGATTTTAAGATATACATATTATTTGGAATATATACACCTGGCTCAAAATTCTTTTTCTTTCTTCCTCTCTGAAATTAAGTTTAACCAGTGCTGCAATATACTAACATAGAATATATACTGCTGTGTAACCTTTATCAGTTCACTCCCCCTCACTTTTCCACACACATGTAAAGACACAAACACAGTCTTCAATATCACAAGCACCATGGAAAGGATCATTAATCTGAGACTGTCTGGCTGGCAGAAGGGAAACACCCTCCTCTGTCTCTTTTTATGTCTCTCAGTCATCTTTCATTGAGCAATATAAGACTTCCATGTTAGGGAAAAAGTATAGTTTCAGAGTTCTGAGTTGAATATTGGATCTAAAAATGTTGCACATGCTCCAGTGAACACAAAATGTATTCACAGGTGTGACCTGTGTGAGTGACAGTGTCTTCTCAGTTATGTACTAGTACATAATTAGCAATGAGGGATCTTCTTTTTATGTTATGCCCTTAGGATTTTGCACCTCCCAAAAATATTGAATGTCTGGAATTATCATGCAATTCCTACCCATGATTCCTTCCCTGAAAAATCTGGAGAAAAGTCACTAGCTAATACACTTCCAGAAACCAAGGTCCTTTCTAAGACAGTGATGTTACTTCAGCCACATTTGTTTTCATTCATAGCATATCATATTGAATGGTGTATTCTGATAGAACCAGCATGTGGCAGTAGGCTATTTAACCTGTAGCAGGTAAACTGAAGAAATCTGTGGTCTGAACTTGTAGTGAGTCATTAAAGGTAGTAAATTCAAGCTGTAGTTTCTCTGTCTTTTGTCACATTATAAGCAGCATTTAGCATTGATAGTTAGATGGTAGACAGGAACATTTTTCATCACTGGACAAAGAAAAAGAATTCCTACGTTTTTTCTTCATGCATCCGGAGAGCTGTAAAACTAACCAAGGACAAATATGAGACTGCTGAAATATGAAACAATTAAAGGAAATCCCAGTCTAAATCATAATCTCCAGATGGAAAGTGTAAAAAAAAAAAAAAAAGAAAGAGTTTCACTGGATGCTCATTCTATTCTTTTTTTTTTCAGTGAACTCTGCTTACATTTGAAATGAAAAGATTTCATGGATTCATGCAGGAGAATTCAGTGCATATACCTATATTTCCACAAATATTGTTGTAATAGTAAGTAACTGAAAAAGTGAAAAGTAGTTTTGAGCAGGTTGTTTTAAACTTCTGACACGGTATTCCTTTTTCCTTCTAATGACAGTGGTATGAGTCTTTTGTCTAGCAGTGATTGACAGTAGTTAAGATCTGGGTTCAGTTTGTAGGACTTAGTGATCATACTCAATATCATCCCTTTAAGCCCTGGCCAGCTGAAAAAATGGTTTCAACTAAATTAATCTCTATGCATTCGGTAAATTAGCTCTATGCATCTCTCCACTGTAAGTGTTTTGTTAAACAAAAAACATGTAGCCCATCAGGACTCTACTTAGAGAGCAGAGAAAAATAGAATCATAGAATCATAGACTCAACCAGGTTGGAAGAGACTTCAAAGATCATCGAGTCCAACCCTACCGTCATTACTAGACCATGGCACTAAGTGCCACATCCAGTCTCATCTTGAAAACCTCCAGGGATGGTGAATCCACCACCTCCCTGGGCAGCACATTCCAACGCCTGACAACTTTCTCCATAAAAAATCTCTTTCCAATATCCAACTTAAACCTCCCCTGGAAGAGCTTGAGTCTGTGCCCTCTTGTCCTAAATATCCTAATATATCAATGGGGAGAGCATCAATGCCTCAAAGGAGCTGTCACCCTCAGAGCAGGCTGACAGTGGTGTCAAGTCCTGCCCCCATGGCTACACATCTAAGGAAGCAGGTAGTTATTCACCTGCTGCCACTACTCTGTGTACCTACAGTTTGATTGCCCAGGTTTTTTCTAATACATGATGGTACCAATCACATTGACTTTCCCTGAAAGTTCTTCCCTTTCCTCAGGGTTAGGGTTAGTGCTGCTGCAAATTTAAAGCACCTCCCCTAGTACATTCAAAACCTTTAAGGACAGAATTCAATTCCTCTTTTCAAGGACTAAAAGGCTGTTCATTTCACTGGAATTGAATCAGCAATGGATTTGACGACTCATCATCTACATACCCCTGTCTTCCACGAGTCAGAAGTAACAGTTGATTATACTTGCCAATATAATGAATGATGATAAGCATATTTATCTGTAAGGGTTCTGATGATTTTATATTCAGGAAAAGATACTTCTCAGTAAAAATTTTTAAAAAAGAAAGAACTAGTGGGGTTACCAAGAAAATATATTCCTGCAACACTCAGAAATAAAATGACCAGAAAAAAACCTAGTCTAATACTTAAAATAGTCACTGAAGAAGAAGTTATGGTTTATCATCCTGCATTAGCTTCTTGGTAAAGATTACACAGGTTGCCCAGAAAAGTTGTGGATGTCCCATTCCTGGGAGTGTTCCAGGCTAGGCTGCATGTGGCTTTGAGCAAGCTGGTCCAGTGGAAGGTTCCAACACTCTCATGGCAGGGGGGTTGGAACTAGATGACCTTTAAGGTACATTCCAACCCAAACCATTCTATGACTCTATCTCTGAATTTGATATGCTGTACCCATTTTAGGTAAGTTTTCTTGCACAAACTTCAATTCTTTTCCTTGCAAGAGCAAATAGTGGAAAGAGAGTTCGAAACTGATCTGAGAGACTCTCCAGCTTGGCAAGTTGTTGTAAAATCACATCATCTTGATTCATTTCAAACTTTATTTGGTGCGACTTGCTGATAGGTATTATGGGTGTATGGCCCAGGTAAGACTTTGGCGGTCCAGCTTATCTGATCTGCTGCTGACAGTTGCCTATATCAGCTGTTTGTTTCTGAGGAAAACAAGAAAACTCCCATCTTGGAATACACTGTCCAGATAGAAACTGACATATTTCTCAGTGCTGCTGATGTTCTCACAAAGCGTAAAAGTTCATACATATTTCATACACTTGATTATATATAAGACACAACTAGATTAAGGTGGTGTTTAATTCTTCTTTTCAATGATCATCTCAATAGATGCATTCAGTAAGCTAAAATCACTTAATTTCCTCATTTTATATCTTACAATCATTTGGTTTTGTCGTATTTCCATACACTACTAGAGCACAAATCTAACTCTAGTCATATTTGTTTAATTTTATCATCTACTCTAGAATCTGTCCCAACCAAACTAAATAACCCCAGCATTTCTTATCAAGTTGTATCTTGTTCACAGGCATCTGAAAATCAGGTCTTCTTCATTTAGGTGCTTGGCTCAGTATTTGGATATGTCATTTTAAGCAGCAGCTTTGAAAGCCATCAGTCTTCCATTTACCATCAGGGTATCTTTACTCAGTATTTTTTTACAATCATTCATGCAAAAAAAGTCCAAAACAAGCAAGACAAAACAAAAAAGATGCAACATTAAAATTATGCCACATCTAAATATTAAGATTGGAATATTTCTACATTTTGAGGATTCTAGATATTTATTGTGAAAAATAAATGTAGCCAATTCTTTTTTGCTGTTGTTGTTTTTGTAGTGGGAAAGAAAACCCTCATACAACTCTCCAGAGAAGAGGGGTTTATATTCACAGCAGAATGTTTGTGGACATCTATTATCTGAAATACATTTAAGAGAAAAATAGCTAAAGTCTGGTTCTACAGAATTTACCACATAAATACAAAATCATGTATTTTATTGATCTCCATACATTCTCCATTAATTCTGGATCTGTGTCATTAAATATCTTGGTTATTTTCTTTTGCAGGGGTGTTATTATTGCTATATACTATATATAGCAGCAGTACCTACAAATTCCATCAGGGAATTAACACTGCATTGTATTAAAATTGGTCAAACAATTATCTCAAAGCCTGTTTGTGTTCCAGGGAGCTCATATTTTAGAATGGGGTGTGGAAAGGAAAAGACTTGGCAACGGAAATTTGCAATATGCTCATTAAAATATTAATGCCTACAGCTACACTGTCAGGCCCAGCTAGCTCCTCAAACCAGCCAAGGAACAGTGGCAGTCTTCATACCCTAAATTAATATCCTGATGAATTGGTGTTTATTAAAAGCCTCTTGATGCATTCCTTTCCTATTGAAAATTCCTACCAAACACAAGTACTTTGGTATGTTTAAGGAAGGTCTTCAATATAGAAAATTCTTAAAGGAAAGAGAAAGGAATTTTCATCTCTGTCTCTGGACCTTTAGGGGTTCCAAAAGTTTCAGAGAAGGAGGTGATTTGGTATTGTTCTGAGTCAATTTGCTATGGCTGAGGAAATGACGGGAAGGAAACTACTTCCTCATCTCGGGAACCATGTGGTGTTCCAAGATAAGGCAAGCTCTTGCTAATTTGAGTCCACAAGCAGGAAATGTGATACATCCATTTCCTGTCAGACAAACAACACAGTTCTGTGGCAGCACAAAAGCTTTGCTTCTAGTGCAAAATCTCAAACCTTCAGAAAACTATTGCTCCTCTGTGGACATACTTTTCTATATTTGCTATTTGGATGTTATGGATAGAAACAGTACTTACTCTCCAATCACATGGCCACCAAAGTTTTGGGGTAAGGATATTCTTTCTATTTTCTAGGCTATTGTTAATGTAGATGCTGACATTTGCTGGTGATTGCCTTAGAAAATACCTCTAGATATTTTCAAGCCTCATGCAAAAATTAACAGATTTTGTATTTCTTGCAGTGAAAAGATTGCTTTCCAAATGCTTCTTCAACAAAGTTTTAACCAATCAAGACAGCAGGAGCTTCCAGGGCAGAATTGATTGTTTCACAAAGTTCATTACTGAAGTCTGTTGAAACGGTGTCTATTGACTTCAGTATGTTTCAGATCAGGTAGATATTCTCAACCTCTTAATGGATGTACCTACACAGCAGACATGATCTGTTTCATCTTCTGATGAAAAAGAGATAGCAAAAACTAAATGCTTTGCAACCTTTGGACTAAACTCTTATTCCTCCAGAATATTTGTTATTTGTTGTGGTGCCTCATGATCAGATTTTCATTTTTGTTCTCAATATATATTTAGATTATTATTTACTATGACTGTTTTCTTTCACACAAATCTGGGAATGGTTGTTTGACTAAAATGTATAGTGTGAGGTGGAAGTATATGTTCCATTGAAATTCATTCAAGGAAATTAGATTAATAGATTTGATACTAAAAGGTCCTGTGCAACTGCTGTGGAAAACCTTTACTTTTAAAAAGCTCTGTTGCTTTGTATGTCTAACATTCACATATACAGGCAATTAACATTAGAGTGAATCAAATTATCTGGTCTAGTCTATTATATTATTGGTATTGAGTAATGAGCCCTGCAAGAATCTAAGCACTATTTAAAACTAAAAAATTATATGCATTAGAAAAATAGGACTTTGGTTGCATAGAAGTGTCCTGGGAAAAGAGTGGGAAAAAAGCTGTACAAGAAGATGAAAAGAAGTTCCTTCATTTTGTTAGCATAAGGAACAAGAATCTGTTGAATACCATCTATGCTTTCTGCAGTGACACATATATTTTCCTACTGGGAGACCATGAGCAACTCACTTAATTTTTGTGCCTTGGGCTAAAGAGTAGGATAATGATTCTGGACATCTTTGATAAATACTAACTGATTAACTGAGGAAAAATGACAGTTAGTACATCTTCAGAGTCTCTTGTTTGGAGGTTGTTTGCTGGACTCTGAAGAACAAAGATCATTCTTGTAGAGTGGAGATAGATGTAATTCTAAAATGGCTCTTTCAGAAGAAAAATTTGCTGCATTTGACAGCACAGAGGACACGCATGAGCTGTCTTACTGCTAAAAGGACCAGCACCTCCTTTCAGCAGCACTGCACACCTCACTCGCCAGGGACTGGCACTGTACCTGGCCCTGACCACATCCCATCTGCTTATGAGCTGACAGCAGATGAATCTCAGAGCTTGGGAGTTTGTGGGAAGCTTGCATGGTCCTCAGAAGGAATATGCCTTTTTGATTTTCATTATTTTTCTGCCAGATTTTAGAAGAGTCAATAGTGTTTCCTCTAACTTTCCTGTGGGCATATCACATATGGTAAACCAGGAAGGGTCACTCTATAGACCCTGTCCTAAGACAATGACTGAAACAAGCTCACTGTGTGGAAACTTCACTTAAAATGATAGAAGTGTATTTTCTGACATTCTTGGAGATACATGATTTGAGGTAAAAATAAAACTACACATGAGATAAATAAAATTAGTTCTTTATTAAATGACAATGCACTACTTGAAACAGTGCTTTTTCAGTCCATGGCTTACAGGCTATTTTCTAAGCCACCCACCATATAGAGCTGTGAGTGTTAATAATTGACCAAGATGCAGATCATTTTCCATGCATGTGTGACTTCTCAGCATCTCCTATGGACTCAGCCAAGGTGTAAATTTAACATGTGCGCAAAGGTTTGCTGAGAGGGACTAAGTTTGTGAGAAAAAAATTGATGCTGTAAAAATAGTCACAGCAACTATTCATGATTATATTTAATCTCTCACAGTTTTATAAACTATCTATTGTCTAACACCTGGTTCCCTAC